AAGTCCACTCATCTTAAAGTGGCCAAGTTTGGACAACACTGGCCTACACAAAGCTGTCTTTCAGAGGTGGTCTCAGGATCCAGTGCTTTCCTTAAAATGATGAAAAGCAAGTTTGTGCTGTAAATGTGTGCAATGTCACAATGCAGACACAAAAGCGGCAGAGCTCGTGTTGCTTCGGCACAACACTATTTTCCTCGTTTGCTCCCCCTTGCCCCTCTATTCCCCATTTCATAAAGAATGTGACTTATTCAGAATGGGGAAATAAAGGGAAAGAGAAAGGATGCTCAGAAAGGAAAGCAAAGGCCATCATTTTGCAAGACGTTCCTTAAAACTAGGTTTTATTTAAGAGGAGTTGTGTGAATGAAGCAATAATTCATTTGCATACGCACCTTGCATTTTCTCCAGTTTGGTCATATACAGATTGAATAGGGAGTAGATGCGTTCTGTTTCTCTATCTCCATCGATGTCTAATTGTATATTTGCTGGTAGACCCCTACACAATCATTTAAATATTGTCAAGAAATTTTGAAATTTTGAATTTCGTTTATGGGTTGAAATGGGTTTTGATGAAGAGGACAAGATCCCGCAATGGAATCATTTTAGTTACAGATTGATAATACATTTTTAATAAACTGATGTATGAGACAAACACATTATCAGGAACAAAACAATGCAAAGGAAGAGGCATTCCAAACAGGAACCATAACATTTGTGTAAAGGAAAGAAAATATTCTACTGCCTGTAATGTATTTAAGCCCAGTCAGGCTGAGGTTATTGAAAGTGTGAGGGAAAAACAAAATCTTTTGCACCCTGGCCCTGAAAACCAGACCATGTTTGCACTAGCTCATCTTCCAGGAAAAAGGCACTGCAAAGCCAGATTGCCACAACAAGGAAGGACTTTTGTGTTCCAGCCATGGGCCCCCCCGCCTCTCTCTCCTGCTGCCAGCCCTTCAAGGAAGACTAGACTAGAAAACCAAACCCATGGAAGCTAATACTACTATTATTATAAAGCTGTTGTAACAGAATCTGAATGAGCTTCTCCCCTCCCTCCCTTTATCTTCATGAGAACTAGGGAGGGTCTTGTCTGTGACGTTTCCTCAAGGTTGCAGTTCTGATCCAGACTCAGATTTCTTTTATCTGACTGTTGTCTTGGTAGCGGCTCTTCTTCCTGTTCTTCAAGGTTATTCCTTCCGTCCATTATCCTGGCAGATCTTAATACTTCAGCAGGTTCAAACTGGGAAGGATGTTCTCTGACATTTCAGACTCCTAACTCATTAAGGATCTTACATATCATTCCTAAAACTTTGAATGTATCTTGTGCCTTTAGGACCACTGTAACATGGCCTCTAAAAGATGCTTCAGACAGAAACCTCGGTGCCATGTTCTGGAATGGCTGCATCTTCCAAATCTCCTTCAGGAGCAACTCCGTGTAACATGCGCTGCCGTAACATGAGATAACCAGAACATTGACTCATATGGCCTGGCCATCCATGCCCAGGAAAGGTCACAGCTAACAGAGCGACTGGAACTCAAATGCAATCTAAGTCACTAAGCAACTTTATGCCTCAACAAGAAGCATATTAAGAGCACTGATTATGGGATGACCTGAATCTGCAAAAACGCGCATATGAATAAGCCCATACTAACAAAACTTTTCTTCTGCATTTGGATGATGCCCAACTGTGTTGAGGACAGGGTTGTTGTCCCCCCCCCCCCAAAAGCACCTCCTCTTCTAGGCTAGAAAAACAGGAATTCTTCTTTTAAAGATGGGGCCTGCTGCATGCACTTCTGGTAAGAACTACAGCATATGTAAAAACATACTTCCAAAAGACTAAAATCTAGCTAACTGGGGATATTCAGAGTAAATAAAAAGATTTGTAAGATAACCTTCGTGCTTAATAAATCCAGCTATAATTCTAGTCTGGTGAGAATAAGTCTTTTAAGGCTGTCCTATATTGCAAAGTCACTAGGCTGATATAAGGAAGACTAGATAGAGAAGAAAAACTAGGTAGTGTTTAGCGCATGTTTCAGACTCGCCTGTTCATCCACAGCATCGGGTCTCAGTCGTTCATCATCCAGATTACACACACCTCATCATCAAATACTTACAGCAAAATTTAAAGCAGGAAGCATCCTTACCCAGTGCAGGGAGTACAGCCAGGAGTATTATCTGCAGTAGCTTTGCAGCACAGCCAGTGCCCATTAAGGTATGCAGAGGGATGGTAGACAGTGAGCCGTTTCTTGTTACACTGGCTAACTTTGGTGAGGATATCAATCCAGTCCTTGGCCTCAACGCAATTATTGGCCTGAATGTAGAGCACTCTTTCAGGCTGAATCACCTGGAACATCTAAAAGGGAGACAGAGAAACCACCAATGATTAACATGGAACAATGCTTAAAATGTAATGTTTCAGGGGGAAAAAAGCCTGTTTGGAATATCCATTTTTATTATTGGGTTGCTCAGTGGCTAGCTCTCACTCAGACCCTGGGCTCACATCCTGACTCCTTTGATACGATCTGTGTAGCAATTTGCAGACTATAAAATATATTACAAGACAAGGCAGCCATTCTTCCAAGAAACAAGTGCCTATTTTAGAGGTTGTCCTTGATCCCACCCTATCATTAGAAGCAGAGATGGCCTCAGAGGTGAGGAGGGCCTACACTCAGGTTTGGCTGGTGGACCAGATCAGGCCTACTTGGACTGAGTGCACCATTGACTGCCTGAGAAGTTAGATACTTACAAAATAAGCCTCTTCTAATATCATCCAACTAATGCATTAAAATCAGTTGCAGTGATGTCTATAGTAAACCATGATTCATCATGCATATGGCACTCTTATGTACTTCATGACATCTATCTCAGCTATATAAGTCTTGGCATTCATATAATGATGCCACACATTTGCTGCCCCCTGTTCTGTGGATGCCAATGATCAGCTGGAGGGGCCTGGCTCACAGTCCCACTCTTGGGCTTGGGTCCTAGTGGAGTGGTCAGGTGCACATAATTATGGAACTGGCCTCCATGTCATCTCCTTTCAACGAACAGGTAAAGCCTACCATTTAGCCAAGCATTTATGGAATACAATTACACTCTGACCATACAGCCTGTACATTTCTCTGTTACTAATTCTATGTTTCTGGTGTCCCCCATCCCATTGCCAAATAAATTTAATTTTTAATTTTTGACTTGAGGCATTTCTCTTTTATTACGATAGTAGTGATAGTTTTATGACATCCCACCCCCAAACCAATTCCTTTTCTTGTAAATCATTTCTCCTTTGGGCAGAAGAATGGCATAGCAATACACTAAATGAATAAATACCACACAAAGAGTCAATATGGTGCAATAGCTAGAGTGTTGATTTAAGTCACAAGATCTAAGTTTATGTTTCTGTTCAGCCATGAAATCCAATGAGTCTCTATAAGCCAACCAGCACAATCTCCTCATTAATGCAAGGAAAAAAACTGAGATAAACTGTACCTATACCCTCTAAGGAAGGGTGAGATTAGAAAGATGAGAGAAAACAGAATACTTATTTGCTTGGCTATTTTGGGTAATTAAAATGCAAAGCCTTCCTTGCTGTGTGAAAAAAAATCTGATTGTTTGAAACTGCAGATGAGGATAAATTTATGTCCATCAGAATGCATGTTTGAATACAAAATGTACAGGCAAATACAATATCTTTGCCTGCAATCACAAACTGTTTAGGAAAACACTATTTTAAAAGTTAATTGATTTAACATATACCCCAGCTTTGAATTACTGTAGTCAAAATAATTACATAATACTTAAAAGACATAAAATCTAATGTAAAAGAAACTAGAAAAAAAGATACGCTAAAAACAGGAGGGTATTCAGTACTTTGAGACATTTATGTGTGCTAATAATTTATTTTCAAAATTCTACACACACAAATGCATTTTAAAATATATTTATATTCTGGCTATCTTTTAAAACAAGATGCATAAAACTCCATAAATATAAGCAATTGTTTTCATATAGAAAAAAGACACTATTGTGTATTAGGAATGAATACATATATAAACACTCATTCATGCACTTATACCAAACATCAATATAGAGCTCATATTCTGCAGTCTAGTTGTACCATATTGCAGGCTGTTTGCTTTTCAAGGTTAAATAATACAATTTTACCCTTTGAAAATAGGCATTATAATCACATGCCATTTCAAGATAGACGTCATTGTGGAGCTGTATCTATGTTCATGGAGAAAGAGAATATAGAAACCATGGCTAAATTCTCTAGATAATTGACCAGCATATACTGTATATAAAATACTTCCTCTGTCTACTTACTTATTTGCTTATTTTACTTATTGATTTTATTCAAACATTTATATAGCCGCCCAATTCAACCAATATGACTCTGGGCGGTGTACCACAAAAAATAAACATTTCATACAATGAAATCAACTATGTATCCTTGAAAGAACACTCAAGGATATAACTTAGCAAACTGAACAGAATACACTAAAACAACCACAGGGGACTCCACTCACCTACACCGAAACAGGAAAAAGCCAGGTCTTAACCACACTGTCATATGTTGGGGGGAAGATCTTTCCAGAGAACCGGGGCAGCCGTAGAAAAGGTCCCATCAGATGGCAATACTTAAATGAGGGGACCTGGAGAATGACCTCCTCATGGGAGTGCATGGAGCAAGCAGATATTCTTGGGAGCAGGCAATCCTGCAAGTAGCCGCGCCCTATGCCATGTAGGGCTTTAAAGGTAATAACCAGCACCTTGAATTGCACCCAGAAGCCTATGGGAAACCAGCTCTCAGAATAGCACGTCACATGGGCATAACACACACCTGCATTCTGGACCAACTGAAGCTTCTGCATGTACAGGGCATTGTAATATTCCAAATCGGGAGGTGACTAAGGTGTGAGAAATGGTGAGCAAGAGCTCCCAGTCCAGGCACAGGTGCAACTGGTGCACAAGGCAAAGTTATGCAAAAGACTCCCTTGCCACACCTACCAACTACTCTTCGAGCAAGAGCTGTAAATTCAGGAGGACCCCCAGATTGTGCACCGACTCTGAATGGGGCAGTGCAACCCCTTGCGGAGACAAAAATGGAAGTCCTCCAGTTCTTGGATCTGGGGGACCTTAAACCAATAGCCACTCAATCTTGGCAGGGTTGAGCTGAAGCCTGTTTGTCCCTATCCAGATCCCTATAGCCTCCAGACATGGCTTCATTTGGACAGCCAGGGGTATAGATGTACAACTGAGTATCATTGGCATATAGATGATACTGCACCTCATCCCGACAAATCCTTCATGTACATATTAAAAAGGAGGCAGGAGTGGCTTCATGTGCATATTACGGGGGGGGGGGAGGGGTCTAGCCCTGAGGTAATCCGCAAGCAGGACCTAGGTCCTCACCGCTCACCTCCCACCAACACTGACTGGAACCAGTCCCAGAGGGAGGAAGAACACCATTGAAAAATGACGTCCCCCATATCCAACCCCTCAGCTGTCCCAGAAGGATACCATGGTGGATTGAAGGCTGCTGAGAGATCAAGAGACGCCAGGATGGATACACTGCGCCCATCTGAAGCTTGTCACTGGTCATCCATAAGCGTGACCAAGGCTGTTTCAGTACTATGGCCTGGTGTGAACCCTGACTGTATTCAGTGAGAGAACTGTAGATATGAGTAAATATATAGTACTTAATAATTAAGAAGGAAAACTACTTACATTTTTCATTTTGAAGGATTCTTCCTCCAATTTTTCTACCGCCAGAATGTTTTCAATTGGAATGCTGCACAGTGGATGATCACCTACAGTGGATAATTGCAAGAAAAAATATTTTAAAACTCCCTGTGTATACAAATATATGTATGTGTATATGTCACAACTGCATTATCACTATGTTTTGTGCCACCTAAATTATTAATCAACAGTTGTGTTTTTTGGGATTTTGATGAACTTTCTTTTGGAAAATGGTGTATTAATATTTAAATTAAAGGGGAAACAAAAGCTTTAGTACCTTTGCTTTTCTGATAGGTAAATTCATGATTAGTGAGCCGAAACCATCTCTTCTTGAAGTTTTTCATGCCAAATCTTTTCCTGCCTTGCGCCCTTTTGATCATAAACCTATTGCAAAAAAGTCCACAGCAGTTTTACATAAATATATTAGTAGATACTCAGCCTGGTCTCCATCAGAAACTGTACTCTTCCTATTAAGCAACCATTCTTGAGAAATCTCTGAAAGCTGTAAAATCAGTTAGAAGATGCAAATTCTGACTAGTTATGTCCATAATACCCATGCTGCCTTAGTAAACTCTGCAGGCCCTTTGTTATCTTTTTACTATTCTTATTACTACTAGTAGTAATGGTCACATCATTACCATTTTACTTTCTTCCTCTTTGATTTTTATATCAGCTTCTTAATCTATTGCTTTTGTTTTACCTGTTTTAGCTACATTCTTACTGTTCTTTTGGTCCAATATGATACATTTCATAGATAAAATAACTCTTTAGCAGTAAGCAAGATTGCTTTGTCCTTAGAGATAAGTGAACCCTGAACAACACAGCTGACAGTTGTGTATGTCTGTGAGGATGCACAGACAAGAATGAATTTAGTCAATGATGTGAACAGGTATAGAAAGTCCAGACAACATTTGTAGTTTAATTAATTAGAGCTCTTTCCTCTCTCTCTCTCTCTCTCTATATATATATATATTCAGGGCCAGAGCACTTTGAAGGAAGTACACATGTAGTAACACTCTCATTTCAAATTGGAGCTTGTATGGAAAGCAAAGCTGAAGATTTTCCCAGTTTAAAAAAAAAAAGTTGAAATAAAGAATTTTCAAAACAGGTATCCAATACACAAATTTGAAGTGTTAGTAATTCATGTGCCCTGTATGAATATGCATTTCTTTACATGGGATGGATATAACAGATGTGTATAAAAGATGCAATTATATAAAAGGCCTATTTGTTTTATTAGGAGATTCATTCTTAAATTTATTTCCTGTGAACAAACAATTGTTGGGAATCCTAAAAAGTAGCCACACTTCTTACTGTACTGTAACAGTATTTATAATTTCATTAATAGCTGCATAGAGTAAAAAAAAAATTCAAAGAGAGAAGGAAAAGAAAGAAAATAATTTAGTAGTCTGCTCACTTAATTTACAACCAGTCTCAAGAGCATTTAATTCTTAAATTTTTAAGTTGAATACAAAGGGGTTTGGCTAGATCACCCTTAATTTAAAAAAAAATGGAAAGGACTTGTTCCTAAACATAAATTGAGTTTAAAATAAACATAATAATGAAAAAAGAAAAAAAGAGATAAAAAGATCTGTGTAACATAGTAGCCTAACCAGATAAATTTGATATTAAAGTTTTCAGCTAAACTTGGGCTAAAAAAGACAAAGAAAAAGGAGTTTTTGAAGTGACCTGTGCAGATGTCCTTACAAAAGAATGTAGAAGAAAGTACTTTTTCCTCTTCCTCCTCTATAAAAGTTAACACAGGGAATGACCAATTTTCTTAGCGCTACACTTCCCAAACTGCGCTGGGGCACCCTGGCGCACTGCAGCAAACTCACACAACACATTGTGAGACATTTTAAATGTTTGCAAGGTCCATTTGCAAAACTGGGTTTTTGGTGGTCTATTGGCCCAGGATGCTGTGAAAAAAGTTACTCAGGGTTACGAAGTGGTTGAGAGCCAGATTGGTGTAGTGGTTCAGGCACCAGGCTAGAAACCAGGAGACTGTGCATTCTAGCCCTGCCTTGGGCACGAAGCCAGCTGGGTGACCTTGGGCCAGTCCCTCTCTCTCAGCCCTAGGAAGAAGAAGGCCATGGCAAGCCACTTCCAAAAATCTTGCCAAGAAAACTGCAGGCAGTCACCTGGAGTCAACAGTGACTTGAAGAGACAAACAAAACAAAACACCAGACTGAAAAAGGTTCATTTATTTCTAAACTTTCTAGTTAGTGATGTGCAGCTTTTTAGAGCCAAACCAAAAAAGGGGCTTGGGAAGCAATATGGGTGTACTCTCTGCACCCACTGGTGCTTCCTTAAGGAAGCTACACCTTTCTTGGATTCACTGGTAACACAGCTGCATCCTCATAAGAAAATACACATTTCAGTTAAGGAGGCACTAAAGAGATAGCAACAAGGTACTAAGACTTTGTTGTATCATGTTGGCTTTTCCTTAACTCAAATGTGCATTTTCCTGGACCGCACAACTACCATGTAATCTCAGGAAAAGAGATGCTTTCTTTAAGGAAGTATCAACAAGTACAGCAAGTACATTAGACCAACATCTCCCATGAGTCATCTTTTTCTACTGTAGTTCCAGATAGTATACTGTATATCACTCAGAGTTTTAGGGACTTGTAACTTGTCAAAGCCCTTAAATGAGGTGCTTAATTAAAGAGCAAATGTTTGTATCAGGTATATGACAGAAAGCTATAGCTAAATGTCATCTGTCTTTATCATCTTATCTGCATGAACTATTATGATCAACTTTCTTTACAGTTAATTTAAGCATCCTTAACACAGCAGGCCAAGCAAGTTAGAGGCAAAATATCAGACAGAAGGAAAATACAGTTGCAGAAGTGTCCATTTGAGTTAAAAGGAAAAGGTTATAAAGTCAAATATGTTTTAAAGTCAGTAGAAATAATTTTAAAAGGAAAAGAATAAAGTTTGAGATGGCAGGTACATATTATGGATCTGATTAAAATGAACTGCATTTAGAAGCAGGTACCCCTTTTATCTTGAACTTAATTATATTTCATGTTTTTGGTACTCAGGAAATATTTTTGGCGGGGAAAAAAGCTGGCATTTTCAGTGATAATCAGATCTTCTAAAAACTTACCATTTCTACCAAAAGGTAGTTATCTGCAGTTCTTTTAATTGTATTTTTTATTTCCACATCCAAGCCTTTAATGCATATTAGACAGCACAACATCTAACACAGAACTTTATGGAACCCTGCTTGTTAAAACTTTATGAGCAGAAGCTAAACCATTTAATTTTATGTATTTGGAAAAACAACACTGATATAAACTCACCCTTCTTTAAGTAGTATTGGTTGCTCTATAATTTTGTGATCTCTCCTTCCAGAGGATGAAATCAAATCTAAGAACTTGGAAGAGAGGATGAACAGACATGAAACAAGCATTTAACACAGATGTCATCTAATTCTTACTTGTTAGTGCAAGTAAGTTCAAGTTTTAAAAGACTGATTTATTGGCCAACAAGAAACAGAATGAAAGGCTTTAATAAATAAATAAATTCCTCAGGTACAAATGAAATACGTTAAGTATCTTATGCTTAACCATATTATGGGTCTGCATGTAGAACTCAAACTTTTTTAGAGATACAAAATATATATGTCTATTTCTTCTCTTTTCCTGATCCTACTCTGAGGCTTACTTTTGATATTTTACTGCAGTTGCAATTGATCCTGATCCAATACTTGCTTCCACATTGGTTGGAGAACACCTAAGTCAGCCGCCTTCAACCTAGAACCCCTCAAACATGTGGGAATGTAGCTATTATGAATTCTAGCCTTTATAACTTCTATCCACATTGACTTGGAATTAAAAGAACTGCAGTCCAACACATTTGGAGGTCAACAATTAATTAAAAGAGAGCCAGTTTGGTCTAGTGGTTAAGGCTCCAGGCTAGAAAGCAAGAGACTGTGAGTTCTAGTCCCACTTTAGGCATGCAAGCTGGCTGGGTGACTTTGGGCCAGTCATTCTCTCTCAGCCCAACTCACTTCACAGGGCTGTTGTGGGGAAAATAGGAAGAGAAAGGAGTATTAGGTATATTCACTGCCTTGAGTTATTTATAAAAATAATAAAGGCGGGATGAAAAAAAAATCTTAAAAAAAAGTGAATGAAAGACTCAAGCCTCTTGTCAATGAGGTCTGTACATGAGATACTTTGACAGTGTATTGTCCTATAGACTGTTCATAAATGTCTTACTAATCCATATGGTAAATGGCTGATCAGCACAGGAATGACATTAAGAAAAAAAATCTATACAGCCTTCCCCAGCCCAATGTTCCCCAGAGGCATTGGGAGTATAATTCTTAATATATTTCAGTGTTAGATAGATTGGTGATAATTCTGTAATTTATAGTCCCAATAAATCTAGAGTAACAGAAGCCTGATGTATAGTCTAAAGGTATAATATTCTTTATGATTGAGAGACTCCAAATATGAAATAAAAAAAAATCTGTCCCTCCTGAACTACCTGAGAAAGTTCAAAATTATCAAACTATTGCACTATTACATATTACTGTAACTCTAAAGATACCTATTGAAGAAAACTTTAAATCGGTATGCCAAAACCCATTCAGTGGCCAAAAGATTTACTTCTAATATTTTCCCATCTTCTCCATTATTATTTTTGCTTCTAATTGATTATTTAGAATATACATGCAAGTAATTCAGTATTTATGGAACTGGCTGGCATTCCCCCAAAGCACACAAAACATTGTTTCTAATACTTACATTTTTTACTGCATCTGCATACTTTTGCTCGTTAAAGTAGTCATAAAATATAGCCATATATGACTCCTTGAAACTGGCCTGAAATACAATCAACATCTTGATCATTAAATGTGAGTTCAAAATACAGAAAAAATAAGATTAATTAATTCATGGACAAATAATTTTCAATGGTAAAAAAAGGTTTTTAAAATTCTCCCTGGTGGTCCAGGTGGTGAGATACAGGCTAGAAACATACCAGGAGTATTGATTCACAGGGCATGTGCCCCACAAGCAAACATTAAGCTCCAGTGGAGAAATGGCTGGCCATGCTAAGTGGGTATGTGAATCACCTCTCAAACATTTTTTTTTTTTTGCTGGTTTAGGGAAACTGCTAGATCACAATTCATATACTCTCAAGACTTGCATTATTCTTGTTTCCCACTCTTCTTTCACTCTCCTCCCCTCCCCTGGTAGGCAAAGACATGCATTTCTTCAGCTTATAGGACAATTAAATAAAAAGAGAGGTCTGGAAAGGAAAATGGGATATACATGCAACCTTATCAGGTTCCATAGCAACTTACTCTATTACTATTGTTATTATTTTACCCCGCCTTTTAAAAAAAAATATTTTGGTCAACTAAAGGTGGTCAACATACCTAATACTCCTAGACAGAGCTCTATTATGCCTGATGCAATGCTGCTTTAGGGAAGGGTTTAATTACAGAAATGCAAGTGCAAACATGATTCAGAACACTGAAAAAACACTATGAAATTCTTACAGACTTAGACTTTGATAAACTGCCCAATGTTTGTATGGTTTTAGAGATCAGCGTCAAAGTTCTTGAAGTCTGTGGATCCTATTCAAAGGAGAAAACCACCATGTTATTATTTGAGTGTGGGAAACCGTAAATGCTACTTTCTTGTTTACAGTTACAAAGCATTTCCTCACTCTGTACCTAAAGTTCAATAAAACTTAAGTGGGAAGAAATTTTAAGGACTTTTGCATCTGGCAGGACTCTCCAGCTACTTTGCTTAGTTTATTTTAGAAAAAGGCTGAAAGCCTGGAGGAAGATCTGCTCTCTTTGCAAGACTCTGAGAGATGTTCACATCCTTTTGAATCTTACATATATTCATTTCAAAAACCCATTCTGAAGAAGAAAACATGATCATTAGGGTCTCCCTGGTACTTTAAGTGTCATAAAAAATGACTTCACTGTTGGTGTATAATACATAAGGACATATAACAATTCACAATTGCTTTCAGAAGCTATTTGGGAACTTCTAGGAACTTGTTTCTAGGATTCACAGGGAGCTTTCATACAGGTGACAATCAAAGAACATGATAACATGAAAGCAGAAAAGCATACAGCAGCATGTGAAACAATGAATGCAAATTCAGTTCTACTATTTAATGGTTATTTTAATGGTTTCAGTGGTTAGATGGCCTAGACATTGGTATCTGAACTTAGATCTTTTTAACATTCATATTTTAAAGTGTTTTTAATTTAGGTTAAATGTTATTTAATATAAGCCCATGTATGAGATGCCATACACTAAGTCAATCAATCAATCAATCAATCAATCAATCAATCAATCTACTATTTTATAAAGAAAAGTTAGCTAGCATAACATCTTACACAATTAAAAAAAACAAGTTCCTGTTAACAGTCTGTGTCTACAAACATTAGGGCAATAATTAAGGGCAATAGCTAAGGAAATCTTATTATTTTCCAGTTTGACCAATAAAACTTTAATTTTTTGGCAGGCAGAAAAGACTTAAAGAGACAGGACTCTTAGTGACTGGCCCAAAATTCCCATTTCGTTTCCTTTGTAAGACCTGACATTGCAAATTAAATATGTATCTTATTTATAGAACCAGGCTGAAAATAATTTTGAGTTGGGAACAATGCAATCTGGAGAAAAATGCTAATTACCAATTTGGAAGTAGAATCTTTTTACTAAGAATACAAAAGAATATGCACATTTACAGAATTCCACAACTGAATTTATACTTTCAACATTCTTCTTTTTCAACAACAACTTTCTGCACATGAATGAGATGTATTTGAATTTGGAAGGAATTTTAAAACTAAATTGTTGCATATGAAGAAACAAACAAACAAAAAATAGTTCACATATGCAGATGAACAAGCTAATTTCCCTCATGGGTCAGTTCTCTACCATTTGCTTCATTCTTGATTTTTCAAAATTTTTGGAACACACCCTTTTTACTTCTACTGCTAAAACAGTACCTGCCCAGTATTTTCCTTAAAAGTTGTCAATCTTATGGTAAACATTTCTTTTTCACATTTTCACATTCACTTTAGGAATGCCCATATATGACATTTGGCATGAAGTTTAAATACCCCTATTAATATCTTGTGTAAAAAAAGGTGCACCTTGGTACACATCTAAATATTGTGCATTTCAACATTTGAATTGTAAAAAAAGCGGTATAAATTATAACTTGATGCTAGCCACATAAAGTCTAAAACCCAAACAATGGAAAAAGAGGAACAGTAAGACACAGGGCCTCAAAGGGGAAGACGCTGTAGGCCTCGTCACTGACCTCCTGAATTGCCTTACATTAGCAAGCTGAAATACTTACTGGGTGATGCGGTGTAAGATGAAAAAGGTTTGGAGAAAGAATTGCAGGAGCAAAGAATCTCAGAAAAATAAAGCTGCTTACTGCTGTGTACCTAACATCTGGATCATCTATAATTTTAAACAGAACACAAACAATCATGTTGTGATTCCACTCTCAGACATAGTTCACACCACCCCAAAAAGGAGAGCGAGAGTGACAGCTTGTGCCTTCATGAAAGCACCCCACTGTACCCAGGGAGAAATGTTAAGATGCACAGTTGCTGGTAAAAAGATAGAGGGTCATCTGAAACTTGGTGTGATGCATACATGTTTGTCAGAACAAGAAAAAATGCCTGTATATAAGAGCATGCTTCTGCCCATTTGAGTATGTCAGGAACAATCTAAAAATAAGCTGAATACAGCTGGAATGGATCCTTAGGAATTTGTGTGGTAAAACAAGAAGAGTCAGGTCAACAATATACTGAATGACTATGAACTGAACATCTATTTTGATCACATCTGTGGAAGAAACTGAAATTCATAATCTTTCCCTATAGCCACGGATATATAGATATAAGTGAATGTATAATTTAATCTCCAAAATGAAGAAGTCTGGATACATGTAAGCATAATAACAAAACACAAAACATAAGGGGGAAAATGTAATCTTCCTCCTTCAACAGGAGCTTAAAGACATTAAGATATTTTTCAGTTTCAGTATTATTATGAAATGATTTCTGAATCCCCCTTTATAATTTTGAAACACTTATAAATCAATTATAGATGTATCTACTGACTTCCCACAATCTTTCAGCTGAGATAATTGTTTCTTAGCCACATTCAGTTTAGAATTTACAATATTAGCAATATCTTTAATGGCTTTTATATCATCTCAAGATTAGCCATCACATCTTTCTCAATAGCTGCCAAATTGCCTAAGTGGAAGGAAACTGTTGTTAATGTTTATTTATTTGGGTCACTGATTAGCATAAGAATTAAAACTATAAAATTTTACAAGCCTCCCATGTAGGAGAAAATGGTGGCAGAACTGTCATCCTGACAACTAATCATCAAGCCCTCTTCAATCATCAAAACACCCCATAATAACCTGGTTTGATACTAGCAGTTAGTTAGGAGCCATCAAGGCATACCCATCTTCTGGAAAAATGTCTTACTTCTTGCTTGGTCTCTAGTAAAAGTCTTTCCAGTGATATTTTTAATATTGTCCATCCACCTTGTTTGTTCACTTCCCCTTTTTCTACTTCCCTGAGTGCACAGTTATCAGGATGAAAATGATAAAAGAATACCGATAGCCACCCAACAATAGTGTCATCTTTATTGGAATTTCAGTCTACTCCCTGGATTTTTTTCTCTTTCCTCCCTTCCCACAGAAAAAATTATCATACACCACTGGAAGGAGAAATCTTCACCTGATTTGCAGATATGAATTTTTCATAGGTGTTGTTCATCAATAGTTAAATTAGGTTTGGGGGTATTTTCCCCCTTAACAGAAGGACAAGGAAAAGACTTTTGAGCAATACGGTCAAATTTTCTGGAGCTGTCCTGTTTACAACATAATTTTCCAGACTTTTTTTCTTCTTTTCCCTTTGTCATTATTATGAGTACTAATTCTGAAGGTATATTGTTAATAGCGTTTTTGTATTTATACTTTTTCTACTGTTAATTGACTTAGCAAAATAAGATTTAAGGAAAAGAAATGTCCCTTATAGATTATAACCATAAGGGCAGTGATTGCCTTTTTTTAAATTGATCTTCACCTGATAATCAAGTATAACTAATTTAAATATATAATAATGTTGAGATCTTACTGTTTGAATATTAATTTTCACCTTGATGTTATTGTTCTGCTAATTAATTTCTAAGCTTTCAAATATAAGAATCAAGAATATGACAGATTGATACGTATCTCATTAAAGTTCATACAAACTATACTAAGTAAGGCTTTATAAACATACTAGCTCACAAGTAAGATATAGAAAATACATGTATAGATAAATGCACACGCATATCAGGAACATGTAGTAAAATGTTTTTACAACTGCAACTGTGATCAGTTATGAGTATGTTCAAATAGAGAATGTTCCAATGAGGTTAAAAGGGAGAGTGAAAAGAGTTTTAATTCTGTGTTACCTTGGAAACGTATAGCTGCTGATTCCCTCAATGAAAAAAAGATGTCACACATCACTGTAGGACAACTGACCCCAGATTTTGTAATAACTGTGAAAATCCGATCTACATACTGCCTAAGATTTTCCTAGGATGAAAATAAAGAACATAAAACATTACTGCCAAAATAATTTCAGACCTTTAAAACATTGAACAACAATGTACATTTTAATTAATTTTCACATTAATTGAATCTGATTACAAGACACAATGCTATGATATTAGTACCATTTTACTTTCTTATACTGGTATCTTTCAAAGTACCGGTTGTAAATATCTTTACTAAAGGCTGAGGGGAATAAATAATAAATTGGTGATAGACCACATGTTTTCCAGGTTCAGTATTTAACATCTTCAGGTCAGACCAGGAAAGAATTTTGTTCAATAATCTTGGGAGCCATCATGAGCCAGTGTAATCAAGGGTCTACTTGAGTAAAACAGCACCTATATAACTTCTTTGTGGTCACACTTAAAAATAGCCTCATAATGCAGAAAAATGTTTCTCTAATTCCAAGTATCTAAGTAAGTTTTCAGCTAGTGTTATCTTGAACAGCAATAACCTCCCCACCCAAACTTCGTATTATATGGCAACCAGTATATGAAAGATAGGAAAATTCAAAATGAGTTGAAGTATATGGAAAAAAGATTCTTTGGTTTGGGTATTTTTAAACATATTTCAGTGGGAATCCATATACTTCTGACTGAATTTAAATAGGTATTTGGATTCTGGCCATAGGGTCACAGTGAATACATCTTTTAAGTCTTTTTAAAACTATATTTATTAATTTGTTTATTAAATTTGTCCACCACCTGACTCCCAGTGACTCTAGGCCATTCACAAAGTAAAAATGCAGAAAAATAAGAATTAACAGTAGAACAAGACAAAGGAACAAAAAGATGGCAACAACCAGAAACATATACCATACTATCCAGATGAGGCTTCAACCACTCTAGCCAAAAACCTGGGCAAAGGGCCAGGTCTTTACGGCCCTCCGAAACACCAGTAAATTCATATTACTTTGGAAAATTTAGTCACAGATATTTTCAAAACTATATCCCAGCTATGTTAATAATGGCATTTGTCATGGAATTTTTCTCTGCTCAATTTATGTTACATTCCTATAGTGCTCCTATACTTAACAATGAAAGAAAATGAATGAGATGGTGACTTCTTAAGTTCTTAATTTCAAGTACTAACTACGATTACATTCATTCATTCATTCATTCATTCATTCATTCATTCAATTTATATAACTGTCCATCTCACACATGTGACCCTAGGCAGTGCACACAATTAAAATAACAAAATCAAGCAATCAAAACAATTAAAAACTAAACCATTAAAATACAATTAAAGCTGTTAAAACTATAAAACACACACACACACACACATATGAGAGTGCATTCCAAACTTCCAAACAATATAACCATACTTTTGTAGGATCCCCAGGCCCAATGACAAAACCAGGTTTTAAGGGCCTTCCAGAAGGTCATATAAACGGTTTCTGAAGCATTATTTGGGCTGTGTGGTACTGTTAGTTATTCTATTATATCCTCTTACATTTTTATTTTTAAATCCAATCCTGTGCCTTTAATGTATTGTCTGTCTTGCTTATGGCACATAAAATTGGAGATCTACTGCAAATCACTACTGAAATGAACCATCAGTAAATACATTTAATTTAGAAATACGCTTTTTGTTGTTCTTCAGTCGTTAAGTCGTGTCCGACTCTTCGTGACCCCATGAACCATATTGCGCCAGGCCTTCCTGTCCTT